GAAACCAAACTAAAGGACACTACTCATGCATGGTTATCCTATTGGTCATCGGCCTCTTTCCAGTCAACAATTGACGAATGTCTCGCAGAACATGTCCTTTTTGGAGATCTTACGGTAGCCCGCTCATCTCCGTTACGTTGCCTTTCGACGGCGCCCAACGGGGTCGATTCTCATCTAGTATAAGCACGAATCTCGTGTTCGTAGGTTTCGGTGAGTATGTCCCCATTTGTTCCGTGCATTCAAGGCAGGTACTCCAATGTCAAAACATATCAGCTAGAGCTGACTTTGTCTCCATTGACTAGTATACTACTCTAGTTTTGAAGTATGAAATAATACAGCCATTGCGTTTCCAGATCACCTATTTTTTATTACACAATGTGAATTACAGTCAAAGGGGAAACCCCCATAGACAAATAGCATTCTGTAAAAGGAAGCGTATGAGAACATTCACGTAAGATCCAATTTATTGATTCTGGGTTTGAAGAATGTAAGCATGTAAGTTAAGGGGGAGTGGGAGGGTGTTTGTTATGTCTCACCAAACTATCACCGAGCCTGGTCCCACGATCGCGCCAGCTGCACTGTTCAATAAAGTACTCTGCTCACCGGTCCAACCGTTGCTCCTTATTGTGAATTGCTTGCCCACTAACTGGAGTTCCCCGACTTCCCGTATTGCGTTTCAGTTGGAACAGTCTTTGACTACTCCCTGAGACAGCTGCTACTTCTATTTCACTAGCTATTCTTGCTCACCAGTTTTCACGGTCATTCTTGAAGTTCTTCGTCAGCGACCTTTACAGACGCCACCCAACCCAATGGGAGGTGGGGACTATCCAAGTTTTTCTCCATCAGAACTGATCCGTTATCTCCAAATTGTTTCCTGAGGCCTTGGGGCACGACTTACCTCGCAGTAGCTCCTCTCAGACCAATTTTGTGTATGCAGAAATCGCCATATCACAAACTCGCTCGATGGTTAGTGGAAATTCTAAATCCCGTTCGTAAGTCTTTAACACCCCATTGTTTAAAAGATTCTTTTGAACTTTCAAATTGCTTAGAAAATTTGACCATATCTTTACAGCGGATGTATTCGATAGATGTAGATTCCCTTTTCACCAATGTTCCACTCCATGAAACAGTTCATTTTTTATGTGATTATATTTTTTCAGGTAATTTTTCCCTTGCCATTCCTCTTGAATACTTAAGAGAACGAATATTTCTATGTACCGAAAACATTCGTTTTGAATTCGAAGGAGCCACATACAAATAGATTGATGGCATGGCCATGGACAGTCCGTTAGGCCCAATCCTAGCTGATGTATTTTTAGGAATGATTGAACAAAATCTTGCCAACAATATCTCCCAGTCCACCTTGTACAGACTTTATGCGGACGATATTTTTATTCTTACGGAGCGCGAACATTTTGAACCCTTTTTGAGACAATTTAACTCTATTCATCCACATCTTTCCGTATCCCACGAAGAAAGCAATGGCTCTGTAGCGTTTTTGGATATAAGAATTACGAGGCGCTTAGCTGGTGCATTACAGCGTTCTATTCACAGAAAAGCAACATGGAGTGGTCAATTTCTACAGTTTGCTAGCTTCTCACCCATGACTCACAAATGTGGACTCGTAAAAACTGTTTCATCGCACCAGAAGAATTTGTTTCCCCGACACACTACAAGAAGAAGAAAAGTTTCTGAAGAAAACGTTGCTACGAAACGGTTACCCCGAAAGATTCATTAATATTCACAGTGAGCAATCTCAAAAAGGTAACCCATCGCCAACTGTTCTCCAGAAAGCCGTTTACACCAAACTATCTTTTAAGGGCGATTACCTTCTGAGCTATGTGCGCCAAAAGTTGAAGTCAGCTCTCAACCGCACATTCCCAGCTGCTCGACTCCGACTTATTGCCTCCACTCGTGGAATCGATATGGACAAACGTGTACATAGTTGGCAATCCAGTACTGTCTCACACTGTGTACCAGTTCACCTGCAGTTGCGGTGACGCATACATAGGCAGAACCAACGGT